CAACCTATTCCACAGACTCCAGCATGATCTTGTAAAATTCTGAACCAGATCATGTGAGTTCCCTTTTCAAAATCAACTTACCATCCCACTTAGCATAAAGCTCATTTTCCTTACCCTACTTTACTAGTTTTCAGGGAGTTTCAAACCTGAGCACCAAAAAAGAATGTTCAAACACAGATTCCTGGGTCCCAGCCCAGATCCTGATTCAGCAGAGCTGGGGTGAAACCTGATCATTTGCATTTGTAGCCAGGTATACAGCCCCCAGTATCCTTTTTTCTTCACACACTGATGCTACCTGTTTATGAAGCCAGCCCCGGATGTGCACGGGCAGGTTGGGATCCCTTCGGAGTGCATTGTTCCTCTTCCCAAAGGCATGGACCTTGTTTACTGCCCGAGTGGGCTTCTAAGGAGAGAAGAGGGACAGAATGAATAGGTCTCAGGATGGTATGAAATGGGCAACCCTAGGGCCTCACTCCACTGCCCTTAGAAATCAGCTCAAGGAGGGGTGAGCTGGGAGGTCAGAATTGGCGGGTGTTCATAGTGCAGAGTTGAGACACTCTTGATGGGAGGAAGGTGTTCAGAGGCAAGGAAGAGGAAAGAGGCTGTGGCACAGGAATTTGGGAACCAAGGGCCCACTGTCAAGAAGAGCATGCCCTTGGCCACCAGAGTCAGGGATGTGAACCTTTGAGATCTGAACTGGGACTATTAACTATGAGGTCCCCATAAGCAGGAGGAATTTCCATGCTGAGTCCCTGGTGAATTAAAGGTGGAAGAATGCTGTGATGTCAGAGAATGACATCCCTCAGCAATGAAGTCCAAGGTAAAGAGGAGGCTCCAAATCCTTCCAGTCTGCTCAGTTGGGGGTCACCTTTCCTGATACACAAGCATTTATAGCCAGATTGTTGCAGGGCACCCCTCCCTGGAAGTGGTGCTGACCAAGGCTAGGATCAAATCTCTGGGCTCTGAGAAACTCTGGGAACTGGATATAGCAGAAGGAAAAGGAAATGGGGTCCTCACTGGCTGGCATTATTTGGAGTGAGAGCACCTTGGGTGTCCCCAGGGGATCTTATTGTCAGAGAAGGGTCTTTCCTTACTGGGTTTCATGGGTAAATTGGTAGAAATCCCCAGTCCTCATCAAGAGTAGCTATTATACCTCAGTTCCTAGTGGGGCCTGGGGTGGATGGTGAAATTGCTCTCTGGCTTAGAATTAGGAAAATAGGAGGGGTGGGGACAAGAGTTGGAAGTGTCTTCACATTCTCGGCTGCAGCTGGTGGGCAATGGAGGACCTTTCCAGGTCTCGCATCCCCATGGCTAAGGATCCTTGTCCTTAACCACTGGAATCCCTAAGGTGGTACAGAACCCAGGGCTAGGAAAGGGGACAGGCAGCCCAGATCCCCACCTTCTTCCCCATCCCCACTGGGAAGCTCAGACCTGGGTGCTCAAGCTGCTGCGGGAAGAGATGGTAGAGGCGCTGCTGGCCAGGCTGAGGCTGCTCCGAGGTCGCCCCTCCTCCATCAAGGACTTGGGGAGAGAGAGAAAGGGGCTGTGTCTCGGCAGCTGACCCAGCTAGGGACAGAGACAGGGTCAGGGGCCTGGAGGTCGGAGGAGGCTGAGGAGAAAGAGCCTGTTGTTTTGAGATTGGGGGGCTGGGGGAGACCATGGCCCGGGATTGCATACCAAGAGCAATGCCAAGAGAGGTGGGCGGCACTGGCAGCTGCGAGGAGGGGGCAGCTGTCTGCAGCCCAGTCAGAGAATAGGGGTTCCTTTATTCCTGCCCACTGAGCTCTGGCCAGGAATGTGACCCTCTCTGTGCTTAGGGACCCCATTCCCTGCCTCCTTCCTGCTACCTGTCTCCTACACCAGTCCAAACCATCCGGACCAGCTCCCCAAGCACAGTGCACAGTACCAAGAATGTGCACCGGGCAGCCCCTCCCAGCCCAGGCAGGAAACTTACCCGGCTTTGGGGTCCCAGTGACAGGGGGAGAGGACAGAGAAGTCGAGGGGCACCCAGTCACTGTCTCCCACCTCCTCTCTCTCCTTACCTGGTCGCTGCCACTCTTTTTGTCTCTTTGTCTTCTGTCTTGTTCTCTCTCAATCAATACCCCTCTTTTTCCTCTCTCCTTCTCACACCTCTACGTCTTTTAGACCCTCCCCACAGTCTTACTTTCTGTCTGTCTGATTCTCCAGTCGCTGACTCTTTCAGTTTCCCCCACAATCCTTCTGTTTCTGTCCAAATCTTTTTCTGTTTCCTCCTAAGTTTTTTTCTCTCTCTCTTTCCCTTTCGCTCTTTCTCTGTCTTCCTCTCACTCAGTCTCTTCCTTTCTTCCTCTCTCTCTCTCTCTCTCACCCTCCACGTCTGCTGTTTCCTCCCTTTCCCTATCGGGTTCACCTCCTTCCTCTCTCTCTTCCTCCCTCTCCCAGTTTCTCTTTCCTCTCTGCTGGTCTTTCCCTCCCTCTGCCAGCCGCCCACGCTGCTGCCTCCCCTCCCAGTCCTGGCTGTCCCCGCCCCTTCTGGCCTCCCCACCACAGCCTGACCCCTGGCTCAGCTGCCCCCACTTCTGAGGGGAGGAGCTGCTCCCCCTGGACTCCTAGGTCCCCTAAGGGTTGTGGCGTGTGGACTCCTCAAATGTTTGCAGCTGAGACCTGAACCTCAGGGACCCTAGTGGGTTTGTTGTACTCTGGAGCCACTGGCACCCTCAGGGAGAGGACTTGGGTCTTGCAAGGGGAGTGGGCTCAGATTCCTGAAACCCTGGAAGAATTGCAGTAGGAATCCAGACTCCCAGGTGCCTGAAAATATGTTAGGAGTCAGAACTCCTGAATTCTGATGAGCCAGGGGTTTTGAATTGGCTGGGTCTGGGCTGGTCATTCCCCCAGAGAGGAGGAAGTCCCTGATTCCTGGGTTCTGGCTAGGGCAGGGTCAAGCGGCCACTTTCAAACCTCTACCTCAGATCCAGGTGAGAATTCTGTTCTTCATCAAGGACAACCCCTTCAGGAGGGAGACATGGGTTCTGGGCACATTTTGAGAAGCAAGACTGTGGACCAGAACAGCAGGGTGTGGTGGCATATGACTATACTATCAGCAACTTGAGTCTAAGGCAGGAGGATTGCAAGTTGAGAGGCCAGTTGAGGCAACTTAGGGAGACTCTGTCTCATAATAAAAAAATAAAATAAAATAAAAAAGGGCTTGGAACATAGCTCAGTGATAAAGCACTCCTGGGTGTTTCAATCCCCAGTATCTAAAAAAA